CAGTTTTTTAAACTCTATTTTGGTGTCCTTGTCACTGCACCAGAATGTAACCAATGGCTTTGAGGTGTTTATCTCCATTATCTGATGAGTGCCTAGCGACGTTTCCAGACGTGTTGGTATCATCAGGATACCCTCCTGTTCCAAATCCGATTCTGGAATCACAAGAATTGCAGTCGTTTTCATTATTTCCACGGTGCGGATTCTTGCCTTACCAAGAGCAACGTTAAACCCTTCCTTGTTGCAGTTGCGCTGTAAGGATGCCTGCGATATAATCAGCGTCTTCCACATGTTGCGGCCGAGAAAGGTGGCGCGGTATTGCCCATCAGCGATCAGTGAGTACAGACAGTTCCCCTGTCATTGATGACAATAAAGTTAATCTGTTGGCCGATCTTCACACCAAGACAGATCTTGGTGAAGGATGTGTTCCAGTAGGTCGGTAAGTTGGTCTCTTGTGCATCAAACCCAGTGTTTTGCAAAGAGGCCTGTGAACCAAAAAGCGTCTTCCACGTGTTACGACCCAGTTAGGCGGCGTGGTATTTACCTTCAGCGATCTGTGAGTACAGAGAGTTGGCGTGCTTGTTGATGACAGTGAAGTTGATCAGTTGGCCGATCTTCATACCAAGACAGATCTTGGTGAAGGAAGGATGTGTTCCAGTAGGTCGGTAACTTGGTCTCTTTTGAGTCAAACCCAGTCTCCCCTCCAAGAAGGTTGTAATCGCTTGTAACGCTCCAGTACCCTAAGTCATAATGAAAGGTGTTCTGAAAAGAAAAATAGCGTATTTCTTTATTTATTGACAGGAAACAAACTCTTGTCGGAAAGCAAATGACCAGTACAGGCTCTTTACCATATGATGACTACCAGGGGTGATCACTCGCCTCTCACCAATGTGGCCAAGTCGATTCTGGCCCAGTGTCTTATGTGGGTTGAGGTCGTTGTTTGTTCTGGCCTCACATCAAGGGTTTTTCTCCGGGTTTTCCGGTTGTCCTCCTAACATTTCCAAATTATAATTCCACCAAGATAGAGCACCCGCATGAAAACCACTTAAGGATGATGTGGCATCCTATCTAAATATTATATTTAATGAATCAATTAATCAATCAATCAACAAACCAACTAAGAAACCAACCAATCAATCAATCAATCAATCAATCAATCAATCAATCAATTTATTCATTCATTCATGCATTTATCTATTCATTCGTTTATTTATTTATCTATTTATTTACGAAGTTGCTGTTACGAAAAGAATAACAAAACCAAGCAACAATCAATAAAAAAACAACAAAACGTATTATTGATTTGTTAATATTCATGCAATGTTCCCCACCTTAATGGAAAAGTGATGTGAACTCTTGTTTCCGTCATACTCTGTGGAGTTTCTGTATTTATCAGAAGACAGCAGCTCCCACTAAAATTCTCCGTTAGCTCCTTTGAAGGCGGCCATGTTCACAGAAAGGCACGAAGGACTGCTGAGGCATTCAAAGGTGCAATCGAATATGTCGTACACGGTGAATGTTCAAACTTGAGATACATTCAGATAATGGAACTCGTCTTTTACAAATGTTTGTTGTCGGACACTTTGTAAAGTTGAGTAAACATCCTCGGGGTGGGGCAAAATGTTTGACTTTGTGTAGGAAGAATGGAACGTCAGACTCCAAGACTAAATGACAAATTTATCGACTGCAGTATTCGCTATTTTAAATTGACAAAACACCTNCGTTAGCTCCTTTGAAGGCGGCCATGTTCACAGAAAGGCACGAAGGACTGCTGAGGCATTCAAAGGTGCAATCGAATATGTCGTACACGGTGAATGTTCCAACGTGAGACACATTCAGATAATGGAACTCGTCTTTTACAAATGTATGTTATCGGACACTGTAAAGTTGAGTAAGTATCCTCGGGATGGGGCAAAATGTTTGACTTTGTGTAGGAAGAATGGAATGTCAGATTCCAAGACTAAATGACAAATTTATCGACTGCAGTATTCGCTATTTTAAATTAACAAAACACCTCGAGGCTCATCAGTTGTATTTTTCGATATGAAATAACGAAACAACGTAACACTTGCTGGCGTTTGTGATTTCACAATAAAGCAAAACCTAGCCCTTTTGAGTATGGGAGCAATTCTGGGCTATTAAGAGCAACTTGATGCTCTTTATCCCTAAAACAACGAAACAAAAACACTTGTGCAATCCTGACAGTAAAAAATTAAGGCGTATTCCACTTAATACCACCAGCAGGAATTTTTATTAACAAAGGGTTAATGGCGCAAACAGCCTAAATATTACCAACGATTTTTATGATTTTGGCTTCACGCTAAACCGGGATTTAGTGTTGGAGCAGGATGTCTTATCCTTTGTCGTCACTGAAGCAACGTTAAGACTGTTAACGCGATGCATCACGCTAGACACGAGTTGAGTAGAAACGTTTACTGCGCCTTTCAATAACATGCGGACTCTAAAATTCAAAACTCAACCGTAAGCGCGTTTTTCGCTACCGTCAATCAAATGTTCGGCGGCTCCTCCCAGCTTCGGATTATTGCTGAGCGCGCGGNGAGTCCGCATGTTATTGAAAGGCGCAGTAAAGAGCGCTTGTGAAACTTAGTAATTGGTGAACGTTTTGGCTCTTTGGGTGTGATATTTGAGGAGAAATTGGCTTTCAAAAATGGCAAAAGCGTTAATGAGCTCATACATTCTTTGTAAAATTTAAAGTTTTTAACTCCACGTCGCACAAAAAGAATTCGATTCATCGAGGCTCAAATTCTTTGTAACGGTTAATCGTGCTGTGCTCTTTCATTATTCCGAACGTATGTTTTTGTATCTCCATGAGAAACAGCATCGCTTATGCTACAGCTACGGAGCAAATTTTGTAAACAAAGATTCTCCTATTCCCTTCTCTGCGAAAAGTCCTATGTTGACGAAGAAAAATGAAAACAGCGATATCAGCAAAGATTCGCCTATACAAATATAATTTGCTAAAATTAACCACATACACGTTAATTTGGTTCATTTTGCCATTGAGTATAAGTGATTTTTTGAATGCGAGTGCAATTAGCATATTAAATTGCAGGTGAATTTTAGAATTATCTCGAAATTGCACGAAGCTTTATCCGGGGACAACTTAAAGAAATTTTCAAATACCACGAGGAGTGTAAATCCTTAATTGCGTCAGCGTTCAGTTAATTACTCCTTTATTATATAAAATAGAATTTTCACTATATAAAAGAGAAAATTACGAACGCGGGAGTATTGATTTTTCATGTAGTGCGATGACGATAAATTGTCCATCTCCCCTACGATCACAGTAAAGTTATCATCTTTTTTTTTT